CTTCTATTCTTCCATTCTTCCTTCCTTCCTCCATCCTTCTATCCATCCTTCCTTCTACTCTTCCTTCTTTCCCTTTGTTCCTTCTATCCTTCTTCCATTCCTCCTTCCTTCTATTCCTCTTCTCTTCTTTCTCTCCATCCATTCTTCCTTCCCTCTTTCCTTCTATTCTTCTTTCCTTCCTTTCTTCCATTCTTCCTTCCTTCTATTCTTCCATTCTTCCTTCCTTCCATTCTTCTTTCCCTTCTTCCTTCCATTCTTCCTTCTTTCTTTCCCTCTTTCCTTCTATTCTTCTTTCCTTTCTTTCTTCCATTCTTCATTCCTTCCTTCTATTTTTCCTTCCTTCTCTCCTTCCTTCTATTCCTCCTTCCTTCCTTCCCTCCATCCTTTCTTTCATTCTTCCCTCTTTCCTTCTATTCTTCTTTCCTTTCTTTCTTCCATTCTTCCTTCCTTCTATTCCTCCTTCCTTCCTTCTCTCCATCCTTTCTTCCATTCTTCCTTCCTTTCCTTCTATTATTCTTTCCTTTCTTTCTTCCATTCTTCCCTTCTATTCTTCCTACCATTCTTCCTTCCTTCCTTCTCTCCATCCTTTCTTTCATTCTTCCTTCCCTCTTTCCTTCTATTCTTCTTTCCTTTCTTCCCTCCATTCTTCCTTCCTTCTATTCCTCCTTCCTTCCCTCCATTCTTTCTTCCCTCTTTCCTTCTATTCTTCTTTCCTTTCTTCCCTCTATTCTTCCTTCCTTCTATTCCTCCTTCCTTCCTTCTCTCCATCCTTTCTTCCCTCTTTCCTTCTATTCTTCTTTCCTTTCTTTCCTCCATTCTTCCTTCCTTCTATTCCTCCTTCCTTCCCTCCATCCTTCCTTCCATCCTTTCTTCCCTATTTCCTTCTATTCTTCCTTCTCTCCTTCCTTCCTTCTCTCCATCCTTTCTTTCTTTCATTCTTCCTTCCCTCCTTCCTTCTATTCTTCCTTTCTTCCTGCCACCCTTCATTATATTCTTCCTTCCTTCTATGCTTTCCTTCTATCCCTCTCTTCCTTCTGTTCTTCCTTCCCTCCCTCCTTCCATCCCTCCCTTCCTTCCATCTTTCCCTCCCCCTACTTCCCTCCATCCTTCCATTCACTCTTTCTTTCTTCCTTTCCTCCTTCCTTCCATTCACTCTTCTTTCTTTCTTTCTTTCCTTCTTTCTTTCTTTCTTTCTTTCTTTCCTGCCTTCCATCCATGCTTCCCTCCTTCCATTCATCCTTCCTTTTTTCCTTCCTTCTCTCCCTCCTTCCCTCTGTTCTGTCTTCCTTCTTAAAATTAAATCAAAAATCCTATATATAAATGTACTATTCAAAAATGGTGATTACTAAACCATAAGGTACATATATACCTCTCTCTGCAAATAATAAAAAATATACAGCAAAAGAAAGAGATGTAACAGTTTGCAGACTTCAGTTCATTCGGTGGTCAGGAGCTTTGACTCTGCCCCATTACTTATGACATACTTTGGAGTCCCTCTCTCTGGAGCAGAGACTGGACGGCCATCTGTCGGGAGGACTTTGATGATGTCTTGCTTTATGACCAAACAGGACTGGAGTGGGTGATCTCTGGGGATAACTTCCAATTCTAGGACTCTTACTTCTATATATAACTGCTAATATTTCTGAGGTTAGATGGCCATCTGTCTAGAGGGATTTGATGGTGTCAGGGTTGGATTTTGTATCAAACTCTAGGATTCTACATCTCGGTAGGATTATTTTATTTAGTATTTTATTATTTTACTTACTATTTCATTTTTATTTATTATTTTATTTTGTATTTTATTATATTATTTAATGTTTTATTTCATTTATTATTTCATTTTAATATTTTGTATTTACTAATTTATTTTTAATTTATTATTTTATTTCATTTTATTTTAATATTCCATATTTCATCATTTTTATTTACTGTTTTATTTTTACGTATTATTTCATTTCATTATTTCATTTTTTCATGTAATTATCATTTTTATTACATTATTTTATTTTAATATTTCATAATTACTAAATTTACTGATTTATTTTTATTCCATTTGACTATTTTGCATTTTTTTTTGTTCTGCTTACTAATTTATTTTTATCCCATTTGACTATTTTGTATTTTTTCTTTCGCTTACTAATTTATTTTTAATTTCATTTTACTATTTTGCATTTTTTCGTTTCGCTTACTAATTTATTTTTAATTTTATTTTACTATTTCGTTTTTTTTGTTTCGCTTACTAATTTATTTTTATTTCATTTTATTATTTTGTATTTTTTTTTGTTTCACCTACTAATTTATTTTTATGTCATCTTCTTTTAATATTTTGCATTTTATTATTGTATTTACTATTTCATTTTATTGATGACTAGCTGTACCCGCCATGTGTTGCTGTGGGCAACCTTCCCTCCCTCTTTCCTCTCCTTCTTTTCCTCCTTCCTTCGCTCCCTCTTTCCTTCCTTCCCTTTTCTTCTTTCCTCCCTTCTCTACTTCTTTCATTCGTTCCTCCTTTTTTTTCCTTCCGCTTTCTCTCCTTTCTTCCTTCTCTACCTCTTTCCTTCCTTCACTTTTTGCTTTCATCCTTCCTTCTCTCTTTCCTTCTTTCCTTCCCTCCCTCTTTCTCTTCTTCCTTCTCTACCTCTTTCCTCCCTTCCTTCCCTCTTTCCTTCTCTCTTTCACTCCCTCTTTCTCTCCTTCCTTTCTTTCTTTGCCCCAAAGAAGTGGGAAATTAATATTTCCGTTTGACGTTTTGTCTTATGTCTGTTATAACAGGCTGTGCTTTTTGTTTAATTTTAGTTTGTTAAGTCATAATTCACATTTATATATTGGGCTGTATACATTTTGTGAGCATGGATGTATTGTTGTTGTATTCGGGCATTGAATGTTTGCCTTTTATGTTTGGAATCCGCCCTGAGTCCCTTTGGGGAGATAGAGCGGAATATAAATAAAGTTTTTGATTATTACGTATTTATTTATTTCTTCCCTTCCTTCCCTCTCTTTTCCTTCCCATTTTTCTGTATCCTGATTTAGCTTTTCGTCATTTAGATTGTTTGGGTTTTTAAGTCTTTTCTGCTGTTTTTAAGGGGGTTTATGAGTGATGGTCACTCGTTGATCTGTTAGGGGTATAGTGTCCAAATTTCATGTCAATTTGTCCAGTAGTTTTTGAGTTATGTTAATCCCACAAATGAACATTACATTTTTTATTTATACTAGCCGTCCCCTCCCACGTGTTGCTGTGGCCCAGTCTGTGTATATGAGTTTTGTGTGTGTTTATGTGTGTATTTGTATATATTTGTGTGTATTTGTGTATTTATATGTGTGCATGCATATTGTGTACATGTGTGTGCTTGTCTATGTGCATATTTGTGTGTATATATGTGTGTATATGTATATGTATATATGTATGTGTGCATGTATTTGTGCATGTGTATATGAATATATATGTATGTGTGAATATGTGTATACTTGTGTGTGTTTGTGCATATATATACATGTGAGTGTGTGAATGTGTGCTTGTGCATATGTATATGAGTGTATGTGTATATGTGCAAGTATATGTATGTGTGAATATGTGTATATTTGGGTATGTTTGTGCATATATATGTGTGTGTATAAATGTGTGCATGTGCATATGTATATTAGTGTATGTGTATATGTATATGTGCACGTGTATATGTATATATATGTGTGTGAATATGTGTATATTTGTGTGTTTGTGTATATATATACGTGTGTGTATGAATGTGTGCATATGTATATATGTGTATGTATATGTATGTGTGAATATATGTATATTTGTGCATATATATATACATGTCTATGAATATGTGCATGTGCATATGTATATGAGTGTATATGTATATGTATGTGTGAATATGTGTATATTTGTGTATGTTTGTGCATATATATGTGTGTGTGTATAAATGAGTGCATGTGCATATGTATATGAGTAGATGTGCATATGTATGTGAGTGTATATGTATATGTATATGTGCATGTGTATATGTATATATGTATGTGTGAATATGTGTATTTTTGTGTGTTTATGCATATATATACATGTGTGTATGAATGTGTGCATGTGTATATGTGTGTATATGTATATATATATGTATATGTATGAACATGTGTATATTTGTGTGTGTTTGTGCATATATATATGTGTGTGTGTGTATGAATGTGTGCATGTGCATATGTATATTAGTGTATGTGTATATGTATATGTGCATGTATATGTATATATGTATGTGTGAATATATGTGTATTTGTGTGTGTTTGTGCATATATATACACGTGTGTATGAATGTGTGCATGTGTATATGAGTATGTGTATGTGTATATATATGTATGTGTGAACATGTGTGTATTTGTGTGTGTTTGTGCATATATATGTGTGTGTGTGCATGAATGTGTGCATGTGTATATGAGTATGTGTATGTGTATATATATATGTATATGTATGTGTGAACATGTGTATAATTGTGTGTGTTTGTGCATATATATGTGTGTGTATGAATGTGTGCATGTGCATAAGTATATGAGTGTATGTGTATATGTATATATGTTGTATTTTTTGGATTTTATATATATGTGTGTGTGTATGTATATGTATGAATACGTGTATATTTGTGTGTTTGTGCATATATATACGTGTGTGTGTGTATGAATGTGTGCATGTGCATATGTATATGAGTGTATATGTATATGTGTATATTTGTGTGTGTTTACAGATCAGAGTGGCAGGATTCCTGTACAGATAGATTATTATTATTATTATTATTATTATTATTAGTATTATTACAGATATTCCTTTCCCTCTTGGAAGCTCCTGTTGCCTCTTGCTTCCCCCATTTCCTCCCCAAAGAGGCTTCAAAGAACCCCACCATCAACCCCCTCCCACCATTTTCTGCCAGTGATTGACACCCAACCCCCTCCCCCACCCCTCCCCCTCCCCTTTTTTTGGGGGGGGTCTCCCTTTGTCCTCCCTGCCTTCCACTCACATGCCAGATGACGAAGAAGATGAGGGAGGCGCAGAGGACCAGAGTCAGCATGTAGCAGAAGGCGGCGAAGGTGAACGCCATGGCGGGGCTGGAGGGGCAGCTTCCTCTCCTTCTTTTGGGGGAAAGGTGGCACTCTGAGGGGAGGCGAGGAGCGCGCGGGTCTGGCCCCTTCCACGGTGGCGTCGTCGCCACCGACTGGCGGAGAGAGCAGCGCCAAGGCAAGAAAAGAGGAGGAGTTGGGGGCGTGTCCTCGCTTTGGACACGCCCTCTCCACCTGCGAGGCCCCGCCCCCTTCTTAAAGAGTCCCTGAGCAAACTTCGGCCCTCCGGGTGTTTTGGACTTCAACTCCCACAATTCCTAACAGCCGGTACCGGCTGTTAGGAATTGTGGGAGTTGAAGTCCAAAACACCCGGAGGGCCGAAGTTTGCTCAGGGTGGCTTGGTTCCTTCCAAAAGGGGGCGTGGTCACCTCCCGCGCGTGCGCACTATCCTCTCGTGAAGGACAGGCTGCAAAGCAAGAAAGTGGCCGAAAGGGGGCGTGGTTTGCCTATCACCTGTACCGAAAGGGGGCGTGGTTTCCTGCCAAGCAAGAAAGCAGCCTCTCGTGAAGGACAGGTTTCCTGCAATGCTAGAAAGTGGCCGAAAGGGGGCGTGGTTTGCCTATCACCTGTACCGAAAGGGGGCGTGGTTTCCTGCAATGCAAGAAGGCGGCCGAAAGAGGGCGCAGTTTCCCTATCACCTGTACCTTTGAGGCCGCCATGATTGGTAAACATGCAAACTAGATGGGCCAAGTCAAAGTTTGTACGTTGGTTTGTACCACCAAAGCTCCTCCCCAGCTTGATGGATCTGGACCACACTTGGCAGCCAGGTCTTTCATTACCCCACTTAAAATAATGGCAGGGATTCGATTACGACATCCAATCCGAAAATGTAAAAAATGGCAATCTAAGAATGGAGCCCCCAGTGGCACAGTGGGTTAAAGTACTGAGCTGCTGAGCTTGTTGACCGAAAGGTCACAGGTTCGATTCCGGGGAGGAGCGTGAGTTTCCACGGTCAGCCCTAGCTTCTGCCAACCTAGCAGTTGGAAAACATGCAAAAGTGAGTAGATCAATAGGGACTGCTCCGGCGGGAAGGTGCAGTCATGCCAGCCACATGACCTTGGAGGTGTCTATGGACAACGCCGGCTCTTCGGCTTAGAAATCATACAATCAAAGAGTTGGAAGAGACCTCATGGGCCATCCAGTCCAACCCCATTCTGCCAAGAAGCAGGAATTGCATTCAAAGCACCCCTGACAGATGGCCATCCAGCCTCTGTTTAAAAGCTTCCAAAGAAGGAGCCTCCACCAAACTCCGGGGCAGAGAGTTCCACTGCTGAACGGCTCTCACAGTCAGGAAGTTCTTCCTCATGTTCAGATGGAATCTCCTCTCTTGTAGTTTGAAGCCATTGTTCCGCGTCCTAGTCTCCAAGGAAGCAGAAAACAAGCTGTGCTCCCTCCTCCCTGTGGCTTCCTCTCACATATTTATACATGGCTATCATATCTCCTCTCAGCCTTCTCTTCTTCAGGCTAAACATGCCCAGCTCCTTAAGCCGCTCCTCATAGGGCTTGTTCTCCAGACCCTTGATCATTTTAGTCGCCCTCCTCTGGACACATTCCAGCTTGTCAATATCTCCCTTCAATTGTGGTGCCCAGAATTGGACACAATATTCCAGGTGTGGTCTAACCAAGGCGGAATAGAGCATGGGTAGCATGACTTCCCTAGATCTAGACACTATGCTCCTATTGATGCAGGCCAAAATCCCATTGGCTTTTTTTGCCGCCACATCACATTGTTGGCTCATGTTTAACTTGTTGTCCACGAGGACTCCAAGATCTTTTTCACACGTACTCCTCTCGAGCCAGGCATTGTCCCCCATTCTGTATCTTTGCATTTCGTTTTTCCTGCCAAAGTGGAGTATCTTGCATTTGTCACTGTTGAACTTCATTTTGTTAGTTTTGGCCCATCTCTCTAATCTGTCAAGATCGTTTTGAATCCTGCTCCTTTCCTCTGGAGTATTGGCTATCCCTCCCAATTTGGTGTCGTCTGCAAACTTGATGATCATGCCTTCTAGCCCTTCATCTAAGTAATTTATAAAGATGTTGAACAGGACTGGGCCCAGGACGGAACCCTGCTGATGGTACTCCACTTGTCACTTCTTTCCAGGATGAAGAGAAAACATTGCTGAGCACCTCTGGGCTCGTGCATTTAACCAATATTCCTGCTTCTTGGCAGAATGGGGTTGGACTGGATGGCCCATGAGGTCTCTTCCAACTCTTTGATTCTACGATTCTATTTATTTCCACAGACCACACACTCATCTTGACATTTTGGGCTAGGTGGCAAATGGTTACACAATGATTTTCCAAAATGGCGACCTCCACTTGCAGGATGGTGTCGCAATGGAATTGGAGTGGTTTGCACTGATGTCCGACCACACTGGAATGGATGATGCCCGTTCTGGGCTCCATCATCATCACCAGAAACCTCTTTCATCTCATACAAGAATCATATAATCAAAGAGTTGGAAGAGACCTCATGGGCCATCCAGTCCAACCCCATTCTGCCAAGAAGCAGGAATATTGCATTCAAATCACCTCTGACAGATGGCCATCCAGCCTCTGCTTAAAAGCTTCCAAAGAAGGAGCCTCCACCACACTCCGGGGCAGAGAGTTCCACTGCTGAACGGCTCTCACAGTCAGGAAGTTCTTCCTAATGTTCAGATGGAATCTCCTCTCTTGTAGTTTGAAGCCATTGTTCCACGTCCTAGTCTTCTTTATGGCCTCATAAATCAATTAATTTAGCCTCCCCACACTTTAAGGTGATACCTAATTTTCTGAATGCCTTTCGGGTTGCAAAGGTCGACAACAGGCTACACACAATTGGTTGGAAACCCACTCCAACCCGGGCTGGCTTCGAACTCATGACCTTTTGGTCAGAGTAATCTTAATGCAGCTGACACTCAGCCAACTGTGCCACAATCACCCCTGACATGTGGATATGTAATATGTATATGTGTGTATTGTATGTTATATATATGATATTATATATTATAACTAGCCGTCCCCTGCCACGTGTTGCTGTGGCCCACATGGGGGTTCTGTGTGGGAGGTTTGGCCCAATTCTATCGTTGGTTGGGTTCAGAATGCTCTGTAATTGTAGGTGAACTATAAATCTACAACTACAACTCCCTTAATTTCCTTCCCTCCCTCCTTTCTTCATCCCCCTCCTTTCTTTCCCTCCTTCCTTCCTTCCTTCCTTCCTTCCTTCCTTCCCTGTCCCTCTTTCTTTCTTTTCCTTCCTTCCTGTCCCTCCTTCCTTCCTTCTTCCTTTCCTTCTTTCTAAGATATAAATACAATATTAAATGGAAGGGACAGTCAAGAAGTAACGAGAGAAGAGGGGAAAAAGGGAAGGAAGGAAGGAGAGAAGCAGGGAGGGAAAGAAGGAAAGAAAGAAAGAGAGAAGCAAGGAAGGAGAGAAGGAAATAAAAAAGTGAAAGGAAAAAGAGAGGGAAGGAAGGAGAGAAGGAACAAAAGATAAGGAAGGAAGGAAGGATGCAACCAAAGAGCAAACAAAGAAAGGAAAGAAACAGGTAGATTATAAAATCATAGAATCAAAGAGTTGGAAGAGACCTCATGGGCCATCCAGTCCAACCCCATTCTGCCAAGAAGCAGGCATATTGCATTCAAATCACCCCTGACAGATGGCCATCCAGCCTCTGTTTAAAAGCTTCCAAAGAAGGAGCCTCCACCACACTCCGGGGCAGAGAGTTCCACTGCTGAACGGCTCTCACAGTCAGGAAGTTCTTCCTCATGTTCAGATGGAATCTCCTCTCTTGTAGTTTGAAGTCATTGTTCCGCGTCCTAGTCTCCAGGGAAGCAGAAAACAAGCTTGCTCCCTCCTCCCTGTGGCTTCCTCTCACATATTTATACATGGCTATCATATCTCCTCTCAGCCTTCTCTTCTTCAGGCTAAACATGCCCAGCTCCTTAAGCCGCTCCTCATAGGGCTTGTTCTCCAGACCCTTGATCATTTTAGTCGCCCTCCTCTGGACACATTCCAGCTTGTCAATATCTCTCTGAATTGTGGTGCCCAGAATTAGACACAATATTCCAGATGGAAGAAAGATGAGAGATAGGGAAAGAAAAAGAGGAAAGGAAGGAAAGAGGGAAGGAAGGAGAGAAAGAGGGAGGGAAGGTTGGCCACAGCAACGCGTGCCATATTGCCTTTGGGCATATTGAGTATTCATGCCAAGTTTGGTCCAGGTCTATCATTATTTTAGTCCACAGCGTTCTCTGGATGTAGGTACTACAACTCCCAAACTCAAGGCCAATGTCCACCAAACCCTTCGAGTTATTTCTGTTGGTCATGGGAGAACTGTGTGCCAAGTTTGGTTCAACTCCATCATTGGTGGACTTCAGAATGCTCTTTGATTGGAGGTGAACTATAAATCCCAGCAACTACAACTACGAAACGGCAAGGTCTGTTTTCTTAATACAGCGCCTCATGTTGTGGTGACCCCCAACCATAAGATAATTATCGTTGCTACTTCCTAACGGTAATTGTGTTACTGTTATGAATCGTAATGAAGATATCTGAAATGCAAGATGAATTTTTATTCACTAGACCAAATTTGGCACAAAAGCCCAATAACGGAGCTCCATGCAGTCATGTCGGCTTTGGAGGTGTCTACGGACAACACCAGCTCTTCGGCCTAGAAATTGAGCACCAACCCCCAGTCTTGGACATGACTGGACTTAATGTCAGGGGAAAACTTTTACCTTACCTTACCCAATATGCCAAATTTCAATACTGGTGGGGTTGGAGGGAGAATTGATTTTGTCATTTGGGACTTGTAGTTGCTGGGATGTATAGTTCACCTACAATCAAAGAGCATTCTGAACTCCATCAATGATGGAATTGAACAAAACTTGGCGCACAGAACTCCCATGACCAAGAGAAAATACTGGAAGTGTTTGGTAGGCATTGACCTTGAGTTTTGGAGTTGTAGTTCACCTGCATCCAGAGAGTACTGTGGACTCAAACAATGATAAATCTGGATCAAACTTGGCACGGATACTCAATATGCCCAAATGTGAACACTGGTGGAAAATAGACCTTGACATTTGGAGAAAATAGACCTTGGTGTTTCGTAGTTGTAGTTGCTGGGATTTATAGTTCACCTACAATCAAAGAGCATTCTGAACACCACCAACGATGGAATTGAACAAAACTTGGCGCACAGAACTCCCAT